CAAAGAAACTGCCTCAATTGCATTCCATCACGACGACGGATCTGTCGGCAGTCAAAATATGAATAGATATTGCAAGAAATTAGTTGATATGTTTGATATGGGGCAAAAGCAGCCAAAGATGAGCCATAAGCATGGGAAAGATGGATTTTGCAATAACTGTGGACAGCTAACATTCAGCCTGAAACCACCGCAGAGCGTGAAATGTTATATTGCCACGAAAGAGAATCTGTGATACTGTATACTCACCAATGAACACTGTCGCAAAGATCCATGATTACAATTTGTAAAGACAACACATATAAATGTTTTCATTACGTGTGTAAACAAACGCGAGAAAAAACACACCACGGTATGAGAAATAAAGCATTCGGTTGAAGCCGAAAACCGAAATGCAGAAGAATGCGGGGAAGAAGAAAACAGACTTTAGTTTTTAGCGCCATTTGTGATTTGTTGTCTGTTTGAGTCGAGTATTCTCGACTTCCTTTTGTTGATGTCGTATGTCGTTCGAAAACTCTGCCAAAGCGAACTTAACTTTGTGACAGAAGAACGAAAATAGAATGGTGGCAAGTGTTGGGGTGTTATGTTGGCCGGAGAGCTCAAAATTGCTAAAATCGTCTCTTTTTTCTACACCTTGTTTTTCTATGAGACCGATTATTGGCACTCGCGTACGGAAGACAAACAACAAGTAAGTTTGTCTGCTTCTGCTTTTAACCCAAGATCCAGCTTTCACCCCAGAGCCCAGGTTATATTTTTAATTTTTAAGTTTGTGATATCATAATTGCAACAGTTCATCTCAAAGGATAACATACATGCACAGCAGGTTGTTACGTGTGCTTGTATCGGCTTAGTTAAGATGGTTTCTCAGAATTACTAGATTTGTTTATGGTTGAAATGAAGTGGAAGTAATACAAGTATTAAAGGTTATGCTCCTGTACTGGCTGCATTTGATTGGCTGCCATTGCATCCTTTATTATCTTGAAAGAAAATAGAAAAACCAAACACTCCAATTCAACATTGGAAAAAGGTTTATTGAAAATAAGAAAGTGAGTAACACTGATCTACTTTATCTGAATTGATTCACTCTTTTCTATATCCCACTACCTTGGCAACCCTATGATATTGAAGAATTAGTATTGTTGTGATTCGTATATTACTATCTTTTGATTTTATGATAGGGATTCGTACAGTATTAACGTGTTTTGAATACAATGTTCGTACACTATTACATACATAGTTCTTTGACAAATTCATTCGTATGTTATTAAACTTACAAATGAATAAAAGCCATTCGTATATTACTAATGCAGTCTGTACGGATAGATCTCTTCGTAGGAATCTAGCTCCAGGAACCTAGGTCCATGAATGCTTGAAATGATTCGTATTACGAATCTATTGTTGAAATTCAATCATAGGTTACGATGAGTTGGGATTATTCATAGTTTACGAATGCAAATTCTCCGTGGAATTTTAAGAGTGCAGCACAGGAGTGACTCGATCTGACGAGGTTTTGAAAATTGAAATCTATTGACTGATTCGGATTCCCTTTTTAAAAGAAAACGAAAGTTTTTGATGACCAAAGGCCATCAGAGTCGAAGTTCAGTGTCTTGTCCAACTGAGACCTCAGAACTTACATGTAAAATTACTACATTTTAACTGTCAAATCTGTTAAATCATGTTCCTCTTTCAGATGTAAGTGGTTCTGTCTTCCAAATGTGTTCCATTTATTTTTAATATCACATACTAAAACCAAACTCATACCAACAACATACCCTGTCGAACTGCAACTGCAATTACCCAATCCATTTTACAGCCATTATCGTTACTTTTGATTTTGTTTGACATGAGTAAGGCTCTAAGCAAGGAATACAATTATGATTACTTTTGAAATAAAAAAAAAAACTTTTGTTAAGGCTAATACCATACAGGTAATTATATTAATCTGAGTCGCATTGTTTTTTAAAATGGTGAAACAATTATTGCTTATGTAAACCAGCAGGACTCGTATTCTCTTATATTAGTTAGAATCTATTAAATACAAATTGTGTAAGAGCACGAAGAAAGAGCACCATTAAAACATTGGTGCTATTACAAAATACTTGTTTATCTTAACATATTCTAACTAAAATAATTTGTGAGGATACAAATCTTACTGGTTTACCAAACAAATAATTGACAACATCAAAGTAACGGTATTAGCTATGCAATGGATCAGTTAATTGCAGTTTCAGTTCGACGGGGAAAGATGTTGGATTATGTTTGATCATAGTTTGTGATATTGTTAGAGATGAATGACACAAATTTGTAGACAGAATTACTAACATCTAATAAGGTACATCATTTAATTTAACAGACTTCACAGTTGAAATGTAGCAATATTACATTTATGTTCCGAGGCCAGAGTTAGACTCCTGTTTTCTTGTCCATCTCCGTTATTTCAAATCTAAACACATTTGGTAATAAAAAAGTTTCATTTTCTTTTAAAAAGAGGAATCCGAAACTGTAGTAAGATTTCAATTTTCACTGACCTTGTCACCTGCCCCTACCCCCGCCCCCTCTCTTAAACACGTAAGCTGTTGCAGAAATGACTTTTGTTCCCCCTCGGCGGACATGCGTCAAACTTTGCAATATAAGTTCTGCAGCTCTAAAAATAAGATTTTCATATTCATGTCGACCAACTTACATTTCAATCACTTATTAAAAAGCGTTCAAATCTCGAGGTGGGCACATCTGCTACCTCCTGCTGCCAACCTCACGAGCACGACAGGTGGCCACCGGGGCAAAATAATTAAAATGCGTATTTTTCTTTTTGTTAGTGTTTGTGTTGTTGTGGAATAGTGTACTCATGAGGGAAACGAGAATACTTTGTGGTACTTAATCTTAAAACTAAACGTACGGGAGGAAACCGTCGCCAGTTTCTCGTCTTAGGTTGCCGACCCTTTGTGTACGGCTTCGTCGGGGCCGGCCTATCCTAGTCGGACCTCTGTCTCCCGTCCTCCGTGGGCCAGTCCGCCTCTGATGCGGACGGATTACAAACAGCTCTCACCTCACTCCCGTACGATCAGACGATCAGCTGAGCGGCCAAGCAGCGGCCATCTTGGATGTGAGGTTATGGGCGCCCGTAATCCGTCCGCATCTTTCGACTTGCTCGGCATCTGAGTAAAAGTATCGTCATTTATCGATGCTAAAGGGTGCTAAGACAAAATACCGTGGATATTTTTATCGTGTGTGTGTTACAACACTTAAGGGCACGCGGGAGACAAATCGGGGTTGCACTACGATTCCGACTACGAGAGTATTCCCGTGGCTGTCAGCCGGCTGTCAAATCTCCTCGCCACCGAGCAGTGACCGAGCGACAGCCGCACAGGGTTTGGCGGACAATGCGAGGTGCAGTCTCCAAGAGCATCCTTCTCTCTCACTCTACAGCAGTCCACCGGCGAGGCGGCGGCCGGCCGGGTCGTGCCGGGCCGGGCCTAGCGGCATGAGACAACGGTCAATCACACAATGCGCTCTCGCTCGCTCGCCTGTCGTAAATCAGTTACCGGCCGGCCAGCGCGCCTGGCTTGCCCTCCCCGGCCAAAACGTGGGGCATAGCGGTTTTTCGGCCAATTTCGTTCCAAGATTCCTCCTAAACTATCACTCCGACGAACACGCGTTTGATGGAAGCGTAATCTCTGAACTTTCCTCTACTTCCTTACGTTTTAGTTTTTGAGATTGAACCAATTGGAAGCCCGCTAGAGGTCGGCAAAAAAAGGTCTGTAATCCGTCAAAAAGCACATACTTTGGACCCAAATATTGGCCTAACTGTGTACAATCTCCAAAATATCTCGACGAGAGGAAGTAGATCTCAAGAAGTACTACCAGATGCAAAAACCTGCAGGTCTGTAGCACACATAGTTTCATGGCAATCTTGGAACGAAATTAACATTAGCAGCATAGGGAGGCATATAGGCGAAATTGTCTAATTTGAACTACGGGCGGGAGGACAAATGGTGTCATGATTCGGCGACCAATCAGATCGCGAGGGGTCTACTGACACTACCTACTGTACTACCTTGGGGCCCGAAGGCACCCCCTAATTCTGGCGTCATCGGCCGCCTTCTTTGTGCAAGCCGCCAGGTGCCTGCCTGGTGGTGCCTCCACAGGCCTACTAGTGGTCCCTTGGCTCAAACGGTGCCCCCTCAAGCGAGGGGTCCCCCACTCGCCAACTCGTTGTACACGAGGAAAAATACTCGCAAGATACTCGCGACAACTCGTGACAACTCGCAGAAAATTTGCGAAAACTCGCTAAAAAATCGAGAAATACTCGCTTTATACTCGCGGATACTCGCAATTACTCGCATAAACTCGCGGGTACTCGCTAATACTCTCGAATACTCGCGGCCACTCACGCAACTCGTTGTACACCCACTTGGAGAGTGGAGGACCCCTCGCCCTCAAGGGCTCCTGGCCTTGGAATACCGCGTATGCTGTGCTGTGAAATCGCGTGTGTCCACTTTAGGTTTTGGCTGCAGTCCAGTTGGCGCCACTGTTCTAGTTAAAAGGGCGCCTACGGTGCTGCCCTTTGACGCCTAATGGCGGCACATAATAAATATTCTCCCAAACCCTTGCGTTTCACAGGTCTGCCCCCTTAAGTAAGACCAGGTGTGGCACGATATCTTCAAATTGATTTTTGACTAAAACAGTCGAGAAGAGGGGCGCTGCAATGATCCAATAAGACTGTTTAGCCCCTAGCGTGAAAACGTTCCAACATCTAACCCCTGCTTTGTCTACACTGTTAAGAGCTTACGGTGAATTTCACCATAAGCTACGGTGACCCCCTGCAGCACCGTAGCTTACGGTGATATTTACCGTAGCCTACGGTGACATGTACACCGTAGGTTACGATGCTGCAGGGGTTCACCGTAGCTTACGGTGAAATTCACCGTAAGCCTTTTACCGTGTAAATTGTGATGCCTGCTTTCTCACATAAGGAAAGATGCAGCCCGTGATGTCTTTTGTAGATGCTCGGCGTCTAGCGCGACTGCAGAGTGAAGTAATAAATGCGTGCCACCTGAGCAACCGCAAGATGACGGAGGGTATCCACCTCTCCTTTTTGACCAGCATGTTCCTGATGTCGCTGTGGAGCGCGGCTAACATAATTCGAGACCCAGAAACCGTCGACTCGCTCTCGCTGGCGGCAATGTCGAGCGTGTGGTTCTTCCTATTACCACTGTGCTATGCGGGTAAGAGTGAAATTTGCTCTAGGAGCACGTATTGCCAAGAAGGGTAAATAAACGTCGTCTGATGCTCTGCTAATCTTAGTGTGTAGTACTTTGCCAGTTTACACTGCGAAACTGTTTAGTTCTGCAGTTGTAACTGCGAAACTTTTTTTATTCTGAAGTTGTTTACTTGTGAAAGCTAAGTTTTGGCGTTCTTTTCCAATTAAATTATATGTTTCACTTGAACGAATTAAGGCCAAGTTTCTGTACTGTATTAAAACCTCAAATTTATTAAGATAGCATATACTAAACAGAAATGCAGAGTATGATAATGTTGCAACATCCCAATGAGAAATGAATGGTCGAATCGACGTTGAATCGCGTTGAATCGACGTCGATGAGTCGAAAAGTGGTTGCTGGTAACACGTCGTAAATTATTAATGATCGACGAATTTTCGACCTAACTGTTTTTCGCTAGATTAATGCTGTTTGCAACCGTACGGTTAGCATATTACTAAAATTTGCAAGTATTTGTCAGCTAACCAGGACTTTTAGAGTTTTGTCGAGTCGACGTCAATTCGTACTTTGAATCGACGGCTCAAGTCCCACGTGAATTTAGCTTAAATTCTGCGTTCAAAGCATGCATTGCTCCAAAATGCATGATGGCGCGGTGCAACAACGCGTAACCAGTGGCTGCGTTGCGTTTTGGCAACATTTGTTCTTCCCCGTCGATTCTTCGTCGATTTCCCGTCGATGTCCTACCGCATTTGGTCCAGGAAGCAAAAGAAGGGGGATACTGCAAAACCACAAGTTTTCAGGAAACACCAAAAACTGTTTTACACTACAAATTCAAAAAAGTTCTTAACTTTTATTTTTAATTCTTATTCTCTGAAGACTGCTTGATAAAATGGCGAGGATGGAATATTTGATATCGACCCTATCTAGATTTAAAAAAATGTGTCCCGTAAAAATTTGCGTAAAGGGAGGTAAGTCGAGTTACTCCTAAAAAATTAATGGAGTTCAGAGGCAAGTTCTTCAATTTCTTACAAAAGGAGTTATCTCATCTATGAAATATGTCTAAATGCTATATCATTATAAGGGGTCAATTCGGTTTGTCAACTTATTCAAGTAAAACCTAGAGTTAAAAAGGGAAAAGTCTTGACTCATTTTTCATTCCGTCATATCTCAGGAACTATGGCACGTAGGAAAACAGGGTTTTTTTTCGGAAAATGTGCCAGTTTTACTGTAGATTAACGGCCACTAAAAATCTCAGTTTGGGGTTATGTCAGTTAATCCCTTCTTCCGCTTCCTGGATCATTTGAAAAATAAAAAGTCATAGCAACTTTAACATTGTTCGCCAAAATCAGGCATATCAAGAGCGTTTCATGTGTTTGGTTACGACTTCAACAAATTCCAATATGCGGAACACGAGCGACTACCGGGGCTGAAGCATGGTAGGAAGAAGTCATGGTTACAGAACCCTCATATCAGCAGGTGATGTGGTGGCGTAGTGGATAGGACAGCAAGGTCAGGAAGCTTGATGGGGTTCGAATACTGTGATATGCGCTATTTTCATAGCCATAAAATCGACAGTCCGTCGATTTCGGGACCACATAGAGGTCGAATCGACGAAGTGAATCGACGTATACTGTCGACATACCAAACGACGTCGATTCGACGTCGATTCGACCATCCATTTCTCACTGGGATGTTTGTGGCATAGCTTCATTACTCTTATCTAAATTCGATGTTGTTCATGTGATACTATGTTGAACGCTAAAATTCCATGTCCAGGGGTAAAAAGCTACATGACTTTTAAGAAGTGTTCTGATTGCTAGTATGACAAGTACAAACAATTTTGTCAAAACTAATTAAAACTTTTAAATTTAATAAACTTGTTCTGAAATTTAATGACCCTTCAGTGCAATAGCGAAATTTCATCGGAATTTTCATAACCTGGTTTGCAAATTTAAGAAAACTTCTTAAATATCATAATCTGTTATTAGGTTTAAGAACAAATTTTTAAATTTAAGAGATATTTTGCTCTTAAATTTCAGAATATTTTTTACAGTGTGATGACATCTTTGTTCTTTTTGGTAAGTTTTAAATTGATCTGTGAATAAGATTATTCATCTCTTTTTCAAATTGAACACACAATTCTGTCAGTAGGTTTAAAGAATTAGACCTGGTTTTACAAATTTTTATAACGGACGTATTGGGTGTGTGAACGAAGTGCAGTAAGTCCATTACAGCTAGTCGTATTGCCTGTCGATAATCAGCTGCTGCAGCCGATTTCGGTGAGCTGTGGAAACACATTTCTTAGTCATCACCGAGTTAACTGATATCTCGGTCGTACCAACCAACTTCTTTTTTTCCGTGTAGAGGTACTGTAATAATTCCACGCGCACAGTACTGCTCTAGGGACGAGTAATGTACCCCAAAGGAATCGCCAGAGCTCCTACCCAATCTTCGTGAAAAAGTTTCTTCTAATTCAAACATTGGCTAGTACTCTTTTGCAGTGTCGCCTCGACATAGGCACGATTGCGTATACCTACCTAGTTAACAGCAGCATCATTTCAAAAATGCTTGCATGTTTTGTAAAATTTTATTTATCGGTGTGGTCAGTGGTGTTAAATTTGTTAAAATCGGTGTTTCGAATTCACCGTAATGGAAACATTCCTGTTGTGTAGGTCAGGACCAAGAAGATGGCTGGCAGTGCTTACGTGAAGAGGTTTACGCCGGTCCGTGGCTGCATGAGGTCCCCACCGTGCGTCGGATGCGGCAGATGGTCGTGCTCGGGACGAGGGCCTGCCCGTCTGTGCTGCTATTTGGCTCCAGAGCACTAAATAGACACGCTTGTGGAGCAGCGCTTAGCGCTTGGTTCAAATATGTGAACGCTTTGCTAAATATTACTGGACGGTAACCAAAATAAATTTAATGAAACGTTAAAGGGTACACTGTTAGTAGATTTCGTAATTTTACGATAAAATTCCTCACGAACAGTTCGGTTCGTATCCTGCTTTTACGAACAATGTTCGTCAAATCCAAAAATACGAACTGTTCGTAGCCAGTAAACAAATTGTTCGTAAATTTATAGACGAACATTTGTAGACAGGAGTGCACAATGGCATGGATAACTTACATGTCTAGCAAGAATTACGAACTATTCTTCATTTAACAAGTATTCGTTTTCTAAGCGATAACGAAAAGTTCGTGTATAAAATTTAAAAGGTGTTCGTTCGTTAATTTACGATAAAATCCCCTACAGTGTACGCCGGACACACTTTCTCAGTGATTCTCAGCAAACGGGCCATTTACGTTCAACAGCCCTTCACAACTATGTGATATGGTTCCAAAAGGGGTTTATACCACCACGATACTAAAAAACCACTCACATTATTAGGTGCAATGCTAAAACCCTCAAAACACTGCAGCAGTAGACTGTCCTGGCCAAAAGTCAACTTGCAGGTATCGTCGCTCCCCGGGTCGGAATCGATTCTAGGGACAAAAATAAGGTTTACGTGTCTCAGGGATTTTCAATTTTCGAAATAAAAAAGGTTGCGCCACGGTCGCGAAGATTTTAGATTTTCTTCAATTGCCTCAAGTACAGTGGACTCTCGATAACTGTCGCCGCGACAGTTATCGAGGATACTGTGCGTTCGCTGCTGCCATGCCCCGCTCTCCCCACTCCTCCAGCAGGCGAGCCGGGCGAGCCGCCGGAGCCGGCTGTAAGTCCGCGTGGAACGCGCTATTTTTCTATAGCTATCTCTCTCGCACGCGACAGTTATCGAGAGTCCACTGTACTCTAAAATCGTATTATCTCACTCGGATTCGGCCGTGTGAGGTCACCCACACGCTTACATCATCTCTAGACCTTACCAATGAGGAAAGCAGACCGTTGGCCCTCCTCGGGTGTGTTGCCTACGTTCCACGGGGATGAAAATGGTCGCTTTTGTGTCAAAATCGCCGTTTTTCGAGGTTACACGGCTTCCCCAAGCCATTTCAGGAGTCCGGGTGTTACTTCTATAGTACCAAAATGTTGGTCTAATGTCCCCATGTTCAGGAGAGCGCTAGGCGGACCGTGCAGGCAAGTTGCATAGCTACCAGGGGCAACAAACCATTTTAGAGCATTTCCGTAAAACGAATCATGCGGGTATTATGCGAGTAAAAATCGTTTCTTATCAACAAAGCTTCACCCTGAGCATTGCGGAAGGTCACGAAATGTAAGCCGCAGTTTCACTGCGCCCCTCAAGACCGGTTGGGGTGGGTTGCCTGGCTACGTGCAGCAGTGGGTGACTAGAGCAGTACAAAGGGTCAAAGCCCAGCTGAAACAGGCCGGCCCGGTCTTTTGCCCAACGAAGTTGACAGCCTCACTTCGCTCCGCCGGCAACCCCGTTCGGCAGGGGCCGGGCCTGCTTAGCGTGCTGGCGGCGTTTGTCGGGCCTGCGGCCTGACCTTTTAGTCACCTTTCCTCGTATTATGACGTATTATTA